AGGTTGCTGAGGATCTCGCTCTCGCTCTTCACGCGGCTGTGGGGAGAGGCGGGGGGGGGGTACGAGCTCGGCATCTGCCACGGCGTCGGCGGCGCGCGCGGCGGGAGGCTGGCGGCGGAGAACCCGAATGAGCTGCCGTCGTTAGGGGAGGCCTCCGTGAAGAGCCTGGGAGAGTCCACCGCCCCCCCCGCCCGCGCGCCGCCGTGGAGGACACCGAAGGGCGCCGACGTCGGGCCCTCCTGCAGGGAATAGGCGGAGGGGGGCATCGGCGGGCTGTTCGATTGCACATTCCAGTCATCCTGGTGGAGGTTGGCCGGTATGTTAGTCGGGGCCGATAGAGACGGGTGGAGGTGGAGCTGCTGCGATGTGGACAGGCCGCCCGCGGGGACGGCGCGGATGCTGCTCGCGGTGTAGGTCCCACTGCGCTTGGTGTGGACGGCCGTGGAGTTGAGGGTGTAGTCGAAGGAGGGGGCGGACGACGTGATATCCCCCAGCGATGGGGACTCCTGGATGGGATCCGGATAGTTTCGGCGGGTCTCGACCCGGCTGTGCAGGTCAGTCGGTGCTCCCTCGAAGCAGGGCTGGCCATCACGGATGTAGTCCAAGAGGGAGTGCACGGAGAGCGGGAGCCCTGCCGAGACAATGATACGTCGCGCAACATCCTTGTCCTCCAGGGTAGGGGGCGGGGAGAATTGGGAGACGTGGGGATAGTTCGACAAGCCCGTCGTCGCGTCCGGGTTCACACAACCCGACGGATCGTTTACATTCGTCTGATGATTCCCCTGCGCTGCGGAGAAAATAGTCCGCACGGCATAAGGCTTGTGTGTGGTGATAACCGTGGCGGTGGTGCCTTCCCCGTCCCGTAGGGGGTTAGTCTGGGCGTAGTCATGAGGGTGGGTGGGGTGAACGCTGAAGGCGTTCGCGTTTGTTGAGAACGGCGTCGGCGGGGAGCGCCGCCGCACGGATTCGGCCACGTCCTCGTGCGGAAACGACCGAAGCGCCGAGGCGGCGACCGACGAGGCGGTGTACTCCTGCCTCGGCTTGGCCGGGGCCTCGACGTTTATCATCAGGTCGGGGCGGCCTCCCGACTCATCCTCGCTCCTGACGAACATCTGCGATCCCGTGCGGGAGTTCCAGGGGTCCTCGCGTCGGCCGAGGCCCCCCAGAGGCGTCTTTGCGATCCTGCTGCTGTTGGAATCCTCCCAGATCGTACTGCCGGGGGCGGCCCACGGGGTGAGGTAGACGATGTGGGAGGGCGTGCGCACCATCCCCGGCAGGAGGCTGTCTTCCCGTTCAAGGACCGCGGCGGGGCCGACCTCGATCCCCGGCGGCCTCTTCGAGTGCTCGACGTGCATGAGGAGGCTTTGCGTTTGTTCTGGTATCTATGGGTGGAGGGGTGGGGAGTGAAACCAAAAGGAGCTGCTTGTACAAAGAAAATAACGAAGCGCGCTCTGTGGGGTTTATTTTTCGTGCACACTGTGTTTTGTTGTAGGGACCTCAAATTGATTATTTTTCTCCTCCCGCTTTAGAATCTATATAGGTAGGTATATGTCCCAGAAGGAAATGATAGACCTACCGTATGGTACAGACTAAATGAACACTTCTTTGTTGTAGGAATGTTAAACGGAAAGACAAAAAAACAAATAAAGCTTAGGCTTCAAAGGCTACACAGGAGACTTATATTTATATATTATGTATCTGGGAAAAAAAAGGGCCTAAAGGAAGGGAAAAGTTTTTTCTGATGCTAAGCATAGTTACAAATGCTCAATTCACACAGAAAGAGGGTGGCAGATAGAAAAAAGGTAAAATAAATTATAAGAAACAATGAAAGCGACACTGATAGCAACAAGGAAAACGACAAAAATTATTGGAAGAAAATTAAAGTGATACAATTAAGTACTTTGCCGTTTTACATTATTACCAGTTGTATCGCTTCACTCGTTATTAGTATTTTTTGAAATTCCAAGATGTTTTCTTCTTTTATTTATTTTGAGCACTGTAGCCTTTCAATGATGTGCTCCTCGTTCTTCCAACACTCTTTTGCTTCTAAGTCAATGGGGTGATAGGGTTACCCTGATCCTAGGATAACGCGATATCGAATACGACCCGGCCCTCCCACACGTGGCGTAGAGCTACCACACCGCCGGTGAATCCTCTAAGTGATCCTGAGATTTCAAACTTCCATGAATTTGTTGGGTGTGGAGTTTATTGGCGAATCAACTGGTTCGCTCATCCACGCTACAGATGGCAACGTACATGACGTTTTCAGCACCATCACTCGAGCAAACTACATGGGGTGTTGGAAAAAAAAGATGAAAAGTTCATTTATGCCTTTTCCTTCAGGGAAACAGCGGTTTAGATCCAGGGGGGATGAAGACCGTATTCAAATTTGGTCATGGTTACACCGTAGCCACTGCCTTACAAAGGAACTGCATCTCAAAGATAAACTCCGACCCGACTCCTCTTCACCCGAAGCCAAAAAGGCGCCCAAATGGAACTATTTTGAGTTCAGAAAAAGGTCTGCTGTCGGTCCTGCCATAGCCGAAATCCAACTTTCCACCGAGAAGGACATTTTCATAGCGCGAGAGGTGATGATAAACGATGCCCGCATCCAAGCTGGTGTGATATTATTCCGCGTTGTCTGTCCTTACAAGGGGGCTAAGGGGTTTACAGAGAGGATGGACTGCAGTAGGACAAAGCCCCAATCCGCTTGGGATTATCACTGCACGGATTGTGCCTGGCAGCTTGTCAGCGATAATTCGCATGTTGAATCGATGCGTAGAGGGCAGGCCTTGCAGTGGAGATCCCCACAGGTTCGCCCTCTTCCGTTGTTGGTCGGTCTATCACTGCCCCAACATATTTATTGTAGTGTATGGAAGAATAAATGAAGCGATCCGATATCATCAAAGAAGGGAAAGATGGAAAGTATCCAATTCAAACAATTTAAATGGGTTGCCTGGTGTGTAAACAATCCGGGACAGGGTGAAAGGTGGGCACAAGCTTAACTCAGGGATAATCGCAACTGGCCCGTTAACCCAGCGAAATGCGAATAGTGAAAAAGTAACATGGACCGCAAAAGAGGCTGCAGAAATAGCTACTTAGTTTAATGTACTAGTTATTTGTGACATATCCACCACTAAAAAAGTAGATAATCAGCTTTAGAAAAATAATGATAACATATAAATCAGAATGCATAAAAGAGTATAAAGGATGTCAGAGGAAAGAATTCGTTTCTTCAATACCGCCAAGATGCCCCAAAGGGATTATTCAGAAAAAAAAAAAGCATTTTACTGGAAGAAATAAGAATTTATATACACTTTCTATATCGAGACACTTTAGATGATTTCACTCTTCTACATTAATACTCACTAGCTCATTTGTTTTTAAGGCTTATATGATTGGCAATTTAGATTAAATTAAGCAGAAAAATAAAGATAAGATACAGTTTCTTTTATACAGAACAGTTGTATAAAGTTCTAATACCCAAGGTAGATAAAATTAATCAATCTTTTCACACAACTCATTTGAATCTATAGAAAAAGTATTATTTTAATATTTTTAAGTATTGGGGTTGCTATCACCAAATAAGGCTTGTTTCATCTTTACCAGAAACAGTACAAGCACGTGTAAGTCTTAAGAAAACAGAAAAGATAGTCTGAGATCTTAGTTCCAATATAATGTGCTTTTACCCTTAAACCCATTATTACTACATATAATCGCGTTCCACTGAAATCATGTACTTTAATTTGTTATATATCTTTAATAGTTTCGTTTTCGCTACCATACATCTGATGACTCGTAGACTCGAAAGGTACAAGCAGGAAAGCTGACACGTTCGGTTTGTTGTTTGATACAACCGATGTGATTTTAATATATATATACATATATATATATATATTACAGGGATAAATCATGTGTAAATATCACCCGTTTCATTATAACATTATTCACACGTTCCATTTAGATCACTGGCAACTTCCTTCACACAACGAAGCTCCATTTTCCACACCGTCCAACTGTATTGTGGTGTGTGAAATTCCAAAGCGGTGGAGGCAGAGTGCTTTGGCTTTATTCAAGATGTCCTCATTTTCCTCCGCAACGAGGTGGGCGGAGAGTGAAATATTATCAGCCGAGAGCGACCACACGTGCAAGTCGTGTACACTTCGAACGCCTTTAATATTCAGGAGTGTAGCTTTGAGGACATCGTAGTCGATCCCACTCGGCGTGCTTTCCATCAAGATGTTAATCAGATCAAATAACAGCGCTAAGGTCATTTTGAGGGTTATCACGGAGAAAAGAATGGAGGAGATGGGATCGGCGAGGTTGTGAATTGAATATTTATACGAAGAGACGCCGTGGCTGTATCGGTTGGCCAAGTAAATATACAACCCCGCAATAATCACCCCCACGGACTGGACGCAGTCCCCAAGGGCATGAAGAAGAGCCGCGTTGAGGGCAAACCCGATCTTCGGCTTTTTTGAACCCTTATTCTCCCCATGCGAATGTTCATGATTAGGAGAATGTTCATGGGCGTGGTCATGATCCTGATTTTCCCTTTCATGGGCGTGGGCGTGCGATAACCCGCCGTGGCTATGCCCGTGGGTGCCGCCGACGTACAAAATCAACGCGCAGACGATATTCACCACCAGCCCCATCAACCCCACGACGATCATCAAGGGCGATTTAATCTCCTTGCAGACGCGGAGTTCGTTGAGCTGGATCTGGGCGCCATTCCCCTTCAACGCCGCGAACTGCCCGGGGACGCGAGCGCACATGGCGATGTCGTAAATCCGATTCAGCGCCTCGCTGAGGATCCAAATCACGAGCGCCCAGATGGAGATGACGGAGATGAGCGTCCCGATGACCTCGGCGCGGCTCCAGCCGTAGTTGTACTTCCCGCAGGCCACCTGCCCCGCCGCAAGGAGGGCGCCGATGCTCAGCGCGTAGGCCCCCACATCGGTGAAGAGGTGCACCGCGTCCGTGATGAGGGCGAGGGAGTGTGCCATCACCCCCAGGCTGAACTCCGCGATCATGAAAACCGCGCAGAAACCGAGGGCCCCGAGGAGGACGCGCTTCTCCTTGTCCTGCCGCCTCTTCACCGCGTCGACGGCGGAGGCGATCGCGACGTCCTCCTTCGCCGTGAGGTCGGCCGGCTCGAGGGTGTGGTAATCCGCCGGGGGAATCCCGGGCTGGCCGAGAAGATTCTCCTCCTCCGAAGGCATGCCGTTCGGGAAGTGAGAAATGGAAGAAAAAAGAAAAAAAAGGATACTCACAACTGCTAATTATGTTATAGTTTAGATAAGGAATCCAGGGTACAGGGGGACTCGTTAGTACGCTGTGTAACGGATGGTGGGAAAAGAAGAAAAACACTTAGACAACTGCTAAATAGAAAAAGCCTAGTATAAGTATAAATATAAATATATATGAATGACTGTATATTGATATAGAGAAGTGTGAGAAAGGCCTTTTAAAAGTCTACAAGCGTGTTGTTAATGTTGGTAATGACAAATAGACAGGGACGATACATGGGACGTTTGACATTCGGATGTATGAACGGTAAATGGTATGGGGATACCAAAAGCTGGCCCATTCCCCCTCCCCCCCACACATAAGAAATCAGTGTTCAAATATTTGCTAAACTCTGAAAAAACTCAAATGTTTTCTTTTAACAACTTCGCATTGTGCAAACAGAACGAAAAAACAACAACGATGAAATGACACGGATCCATGAATTATAAGTAATAATCGTAAACACTTCTTTCTTTTTTACAGATGAAATTCAGAGGATCAAATACGTTGCGATAACGAAAAACTTGATCCTATACGGAAAGAGGGATGCATCAGAAAGGCTATTTTAAAAGAAATAAAGTTCCCATTCCCATCTTATTCTTGTATGTTATTGAACTGGAGTGTTTCGGCTTTACGCATGGATTCTTCAGGGTCGCTCTCTGATCAATACTTCTGCTATTCGAACGGCCATTTCCATCAACAAATGAAAAAGCGCGCGCTAAATCGTCATCACAACCGTCCTTGGAATTTGAACGAAGTATCTTAAAGTTGCTGGTAGTGCGGTTTTGAGCTCTCTTAAAGCCATTTTTCCTAACATCTGCATAAAAAATGATCCAAACGCCTATGGGTCTTTAAACCGTGTTTGGGCTCAACTCGAAAGTCTTGAACGCCATTAGTGTTTATAGTACTATGGCTAATTATCTCAAGCCGCTTGCAATTACGGTTCCCATCTTTCCCGGAGACTTAATTTGCTCATCTTCTTTTGAAAAAAACAAAGGAGTCTCTAGACAGGCCGTTGTGTAGAAATCATCAAAAATAAGTTCTTCTTTTACGGACGTTTGGTATCTTTGGGTGGGGTGAATTGTAGGGGAAGATACCGAACCCATCCTTTCGTTCTCAACCTCAAACCAATCCATATTTTCAACTCATCAATTAAAAATACAAGACCCACTGGAGTGCCCTGTGAGCACCTCAAGGGGGTTTCACGAATGAAGTCTGAATCACAAAGGTGCACAAGATAGTTTGATTCCCATAAATCGCCCAGTTCCCGCCATGATAAGTCATCCTTCAAGCCCAGGTAAATTTATTCGGCAAACTTCTTTAGTTTGCGCGGAGAAGTCAGGAAGTTATTAGGTCTTCTTCTGAGGTTATCTCAAGAACTCCTCCAAAAAAAACAAAATAGTCGTGAGTGGATAAAATGGACCCTGCCGAGTCGGCCTGGAGACACTTCTCATCAAAAGGGTAAAATAAAATCAAAGGAAATTGAATAAAATAACGATAAAGAAAACGGAAAGTGCCGGATTGTCCAACACATCCCCATCGGTGTTTGCTTTGAAGCCAATAATAAAAAAGTACTCAAGTGGTTTCCACATCGAGGATGTTGCCCCTCTGAGCGAGCGCAGAGGGAAATCAAAAAATTTTTTCTCCCGTGAAATAGTGTGGGGATTAAAAAAAAAACCCGACTTCTAAGTACATCAGGTTTAGTTTCCTGACTACCGAAGAGGTACACTGCCTCCCTTGAAGATCACGATAAGAATTCCCCTGGATCATAGCGGCAGTGGCCTAATGGCACCCCGTCGAATGTACTTTAGACATTTTTTTTGTATTTCCTTTTTAATATTTTTATTATTTCCAAGCCGAGCGACAGCTAGTGTCTCATGAAATAGAAAAGACAGTAAGTAAAATAGAATTACAGTCTTGAAGAATAGGTAAAATATTTTAGGCAACAGACACTCTTTGAGAATAAATGGATATATTCGGCAAATATAAAAATGAACAAAATAAAATAATAACAATCTCTATATATGTACGCATACTGAATAAGATATATCAAATGTTGTTGAAGAACAAATGTCAGCTACCCTACCTTAATGCAGAGCGTTAATATTTTAAATGAAGAGTGAAAGATAAAGATCCACAAACTCTTCATTACAGGTTTTGTTTTCAGGATGAAGGCTATACGGTAATCAAACTGGGGGTCGATACCCTAACCGAGAGGGCTGAAGTCTTGCTTTCACTTATAACAACCCTTCCTCAGCTGAGATTACTACGGCGATCCTCCCTGACAGTAATATCACAACTCACTCAACTTCAAAAAAATTGTTGAATTAAGAAAAATGAATAATCAAACAAATAAATATAGTAAGCAATCGAATTAATCAACGAATACATGGTATTACAACTAAAGGAATATACACAACTGTGATAATTTCAATTTGCTACACCGCAAAGAGATATTTCTTTAGAGAATATAAATATTTACTTATTGATCGCTAATATAAATATTATCACATATGTTTAATAACAGTTCAACGAATAAAGAATATACATATATATATTGGTGCATATGGAATTTAATGGGGAGAGCTCAAATAAGAAAACATAATAAGATGATAATAAATAATAAGCAATAATCAAGGCATAGATAAAATATATACAAAAAAATAGATGACTATTTTACCATGGTGTAATATAAATAGAAAAGTGGCTTATGTATAATATGACAAAAATATAGTTATACATAAATACCACATGTTTCAGTTTTCGATTACGCATTTTTTTTTTGCTATTGCGTTCACCAAAAGATAAATTGTCATAAAAAAAATGAAGGAAGGCACATGACATTATTATTACAACAAATTTGACGTCTATTTTTTGAGTCGTGATAATGCCTTTAATGTAAAACGACAATGCAAAGATCTGCCTCACTTCTTGAACGAATATCTAGAATGATAACTACTCATCAATTTCGAGAAACTTATCATTTCCTTCACCGTCTCAAGGACCGCATTGTTTTTCTGCGCAATTATGTCCCGGGAATATTTCATTTGGGGCTCCATGTGTTGTAGACTTTTCTGCAAGTTCATAGGTAGAGAGGGGTTAGAATGGGCGGGGTCGGGACGCTGGGTACCACTCACCAGGTTGTTGATTTCTTGCATTTGTAAAGTCTTTATTGGTAATTGAAAGTAAAAATGACTGATCCTATTTTTTTTAAATAAAAGTTGCGTACTCACTAATTTATATTTAATATTTGTAATAAAGATGTTTTAGTGTGATTTATTATTTTTAGTAGAAAATATAGTACTTTAGTTGCTATAAATACAACTCTATGCGTAAAAAACCATTCGCACTTTACCCCTTTGTTCTATACACAGTGTGTGAATTTGAAAACGGTTCGGTGCGTTTTTAGCGTAAAAAAAAATAACTTTTATAAATATTCTCGCGTAAGCTCACCACTTTCCCAAGAAAAGAAAATAACCAGAGATGAAATAGAAGGGAATCACATGTTGCCGAGAGACAGAATGGGCATGACAGCGATTGAACGACCTCCACATAGAGTCATATTAATTTCCAATTCACATCTCAGTAGGGTGTTGGAAATCACATCGCTTTTTATATTTCAAAATATTCATTAACATAAATATGTTATTAGTTTTACGAAATCAGTTTCTAATGTTATTATTTGAGTCCTTGGTAATGCTTTTGCATCTTTTCCCCCTTAACTTATTTATATCTAGCGATAAACCGAAGTACGAAGTATGTAGCGTAAATTCTAATGTAGGGATTTTATAAAGTGCAATGCATTCTGAAGCCGAGTCAACAGTCATTGGTTGGAAAAGAGGTTATTATGCAGCCCAAATTTCACTGAATAGTTTTTAATACCTAAAAAATAAATTGAACAACGCAATATCTGTGAAAAGGTAATGGAAAGCAGATGGGTGAACTACTTTACGTCTTTGCTTTAAAAAAAGTCAGATTCCAAACTAAAAGGGAACCCCATGAATGAAATGAATCTCTAACAATGCACAGATTATGCGTGGTTCCATGACGCTTATAACCCCTCCCCCCTCCCCCAGTGGTTCGAATAATGAAGCGATAGGGGAAGGGGAACGATCGGAACCACCTTTGTCTTACCTTATCTAAAAATAGTGTTCCTTAATCAATTGGTGAAGAATAGTTTTAGCGTAATGTAAACGAGACGCCGCTTCTTCGGACTCCGTTGTGACTGTTGCCAGGGCTAGGGTTTGGCGGTTACCGGCGGGATCTGTGTAGGTCACGACGCTCCATTCCGAGCTCAGGATAATTTCCGCCCCGTCCTTAAAGCACACCTGAACGGTTTTGTTTGAAAGTCGGAAGACGATGGCCTCGTCCGTGTGAAGCCAGCGCTTGACGTAGACTACGTTCTCCGTCGCATGCGGGTCCGACTGTGGCGGGGAATCCAACTCCGAATAGCGTGAACAGCGCACCACCTTAACCTTATCATTCCCGGTACTATGTGTACGACCCAGGTACGACGTGAAGTACTTGATAAGGGTGATCTTCTTCTCGAGCGCACTGGGGTAGTTTGCGATGTCAAAAGTCTCGAGCTGGTCCTTGGCGTAGAGGGCGTTCTCGCCGTCGCGCTGTGGGACCTCAACGCGGACCCTGGCGTAGTACTCCACCCGCCCCCTTGCCGGGTCCCAGACCATCTTGGTGGAGTCGTTAAAGTAGACGCCCGTCTGCCCGGTGCTGAGGCGGTAGCAGATGCCGTACTTCGCGGAGAAGTCCGCGCACTCCCGGACCCAGACCCGCGGGGATGGGAGGCGGGCCAGCGAGCGCCGGCGGGTCTCCCGCCTCCCCCCCTCCGCCTCCCCGTCGTGCCCGCCGAGGGTGCGGTGGAGGCGGTCGTGG